TGTGCAATTAATCGTGATTAATCACAGAAAAAGAGTGTGATTAATTTGATTAATACCTTTTGTACTGTGTTGGGTCACCCATGTAAATTCTGGGTCCTAAAGCAAACCAGTTGAAAACCACTGAGCTAAACAACCAAGTAACCTTCTATGTGGGTGGTCAGTTCCATGGTCCACAGAAAAAAGTCATAGTCTGCTGTACCAGGGAAGGTTTTAAAATATTCTTCCAATCTCCAAAGAGACACACCTCTCTTTATTCATGTACACTGAGATTAATATTAAGTAGGGAGGTGTTTGATTGGAAAAAATGTGCAGGCATCTTCGTTCGCCACTGGGGGGCTGTAGTCTTGCCTGGTTGCCCGCTGCCGCGCACAGCACTTCAATCTGGAGCTTCACGCTGTCATTTGTCAACCCGTGACAAGCCCGAGATAATATGCAGCAGGGCAGAGGAGCAGATAGCAGCCCTCACTTTGGTCATATATCAGACACTCAGAAACACAACACTATTTTTGTGTTGTGCTTTTTTCCAGCTTGTTTCTCAAATCCCTGAATTTTTGGGAATCACAGGCACATTCGAACACAGCCTCTCTTAAAGGGATAGTTCAGCCCAAAATGAAAATCATTTACTCACTTGCATGTTGTTCCAAATCTGTATGACTTTCTTTTGATTTTTTGAAATGACATGAGAATGATTAAATTACAAGATTTTTGGAGAACTATCTACCTTCTATATTTGTTAGGTAATTAACTACACTACCTTCAAAAAGATTTGCTTTTAATAATTTTTAAAAGTCTCTTTTGCTCAGCAAGGCTGCATTTTTTAATAATAATAATAAAAAAAAACCAGTAAAAACCGCAATATTATAAAATATTATTATAATTTGAAATAGCTTTTCTATGTGAATACATATACTATTTTAATAACTTTTAGCACAACCATTTCCTAAATAAAAAATTAGGCCCTTTTTGGTATGATTACATACCAAGGTTATTATAGTTTTGATTTTTTAAATTAGTTTTATTTTAATATCGTTTTCAAATTTGCTATAAAATTCAGTTTAGTTTTATTAGTTTCATTAATATTGTTGTTAGTTTTAGTTTAGTTTTTATATAGTTTCATTTCAGTTTTAATTAAAGTTTAGCAGAATTAACAGATCACTTCCAGAGCGCAGGCCAAAGAAAGACTAGGCATAATTTAGCCTTAGTGAGGCAAACGTCTAGCGACACATAATTAAGGCATGCTGAGATTGATTAAATGGTAAAAGTAAACAAATATACGCCAAAATGAAGCAGTCAATCCTTTTTACTAAATAAATCTACACAAGTTGTGCTGAATGTCATATCTAATGATGTGTATTGAGATATTTAATATGACAATAAATGTAGCCTAATTTGGTTATGATGGTTAGATGTCTTTTTTCTTATTTAACCATAATCATGATATTGTAACTGTCGTGTCTTGCTCACTTTTCCGTGAACAACTGCACATAAATCATAACTGAGTCTAATGAAATTCAATAATAACGGCATTCGCATTTAACAGTGAAGGCTCATATTTGAATATGTTCTTTTCATTTATGAAGAATTATAAGCATGTGTATGATGTGATTTAGCCTATGCACATTTGTCCGAAAGCCTGGCAGAGTGATCACAGGATGCTAGGCTAAAGTTTTGTATTGTTTACAGAAAGGATGCACGTTCTCATCTTTTTTTTCCTTTTAATGATCACGTTGCGTTGCGTGTCTGTTTTTCTTCAAAGCACCAACTTAGAATGCCTAATTTTGGGTTGATTGCTTGTGTTAGATGAGAAAATAAATAATTTTGCCTACCTGATGTAATAGATTTAATGCGGGTGCGGTTCGGATCGCGACTCACGGTCTTTAATATGTAAAACGGTTCTGGTCTGGTACAGAATTAAATTAGTGCTGCAGTTGGATAACAAGTCGAGTGTTCTGTTAAGTACTGCTGGTGCACGTTTACCAAACAGGACCCGTGCAGGACTCTGCTTTAAACTGCTTTGCGTCCCTCTGTCAGATAACCCCATGTGCGCGATGCGCCATTTACAGGTATTTCCCTAAACCGCCACACAGCTCATATATTTTTCCGCCAAGGGGCGAGAATGTAATGATTACGAAAACTATTATTTATTTTTGATAATTATTTTATTTCAGTTAGTTTTTCAATAACTGTTGTTAGTTTCATTTCGTTTTAGTTTTTCAATTATTTTGTCATTTTTATTTTATTTCAGTTTATGAAATTGTTTTTTCATCAATTGTTTTCGTCTTAGTTTTAGTTTACGAAAATAACCTTGTTACATACAGTAGTTGTTGAATTAAGATCTGTGTTAAATCGAAAAATGTGTTTTCATGCAATTAGTATTTTCATGATCGACCACTGCTGTTACTCAGTGTATTCGATTAGTTAGTTCCAACCCTAAGGTATATAAACCCTCACAGCGGAATATTTTTTCTTACACTGCATTACTAAAATAGCTTATAAGATCAAAGGGTGTTACATATGACATGCCATTTTAGAGTATTATTGCGGGATCTAAAAGAATTCTCCAGATAAACTGTGGCACGGGAAAAGAAATAAAATGACACGCTCTTTCTTTCTGCTGCTGAAAGCGCTGCAGGCTAGTCGAACGGAAGAGAGGCTCAGAGGGCCGTGTCGAGCGGCTGAGGGAGACGGGTGACAAGTGACCCTGAAGAGGGGATGAGATTCTGTAATTTCTGAGACAGTCACTGTCACTTTTATTCACATTTCAAAAAGGAGTGATGGAAAAAGAGCAGGAATAATGAGGCCGTGGACCTGCAGGCTGAAAGAGAGAGAGAAAGCGAGGGGTGATAAATAAATGAGGAGCAGCGGGACTGGTGCATGCGTCCAAGGTCAGGGGTACATTTACACCTGTCCCTCAAGGCTGCAGGACTGCAAAAGCACAACTTGAAATCAGATCGGGGGAGCGGTGTCCTTGACAGTGCAGCGGTGGCCTGGCTGGGTTACAGAAGGGGAGGAGGGGGCGGCTTGCCTGCCCCAAACAGCCTCCTGCAGGGTGCGCGCACACCACCGAGAAAAACATCAACAGTGGTGTAATCGAGGCCTGCACTCATGCAGTATTTATTCAGCATCTCTATTATTCATCTCAGACAGACTGTTATACAGTTCGCTTCACACACGCTTCTCCTGCGTACATTAAAAAAACAGGCCCACATTCAGTTAAACATGCCGATGCAAATCGATGCGCACAGGCTAATTGATCTTTTTTAATGGGCTCGCTGGCACCATCAACATGACTCCTATTTTTAAAATTCTGCTTTGTAGCTTTTAGTGAGTGTGTACATATGCACATATATACTCACACAAACATGAGTATTGATTTTACTGGAGGAAAAAACTGCGGCATATTAAAGCCTCTTGGGAGGGAAATAAGGTAGTAAACATTTAGGACACTTCTTGAATATTTGTTTAGAAATCAAGCTCACTTGATGACTATGAAAGGAGTGGGGTTTCGGCACTGGGTGCGGACCATGAAAATGTTATAAGGTCTTTTATACAGGTGCATCTCAATAAATTAGAATGTCGTGGGAAAGTTCATTTATTTCAGTAATTCAACTCAAATTGTGAAACTCGTGTATTAAATAAATTCTATGCACACAGACTGAAGTAGTTTAAGTCTTTGGTTCTTTTAATTGTGATGATTTTGGCTCACATTTAACAAAAACCCACCAATTCACTATCTCAACAAATTAGAATACTTCATAAGACCAATAAAAAAAACATTTTTAGTGAATTGTTGGCCTTCTGGAAAGTATGTTCATTTACTGTACATATACTCAATACTTGGTAGGGGCTCCTTTTGCTTTAATTACTGCCTCAATTCGGCATGGCATGGAGGTGATCAGGCTGGTGTTGGTCCACTGTGTTTTCTGAAGTCCACAGTCAACGCAGCCATCTACCAGGAAATTTTAGCTATTCCTTCTGCTGACAAGCTTTATGGAGATGCTGATTTAATTTTCCAGCAGGACTCGGCACCTTCCCACACTGCCAAAAGCATCAAAAGCTGGTTCAATGACCATGGTGTTACTGTGCTTGATTGGCCAGCAAACTCGCCTGACCTGAACCCCATAGAGAATCTATGGGGTATTGTCAAGAGGAAAATGAGAAACAAGAGACCAAAAAATGCAGATGAGCTGAAGGCCACTGTCAAAGAAACCTGGGCTTCCATACCACCTCAGCAGTGCCACAAACTGATCACCTCCATGCCACGCCGAATTGAGGCAGTAATTAAAGCAAAAGGAACCCCTACCAAGTATTGAGTACATGTACAATAAATGAACATACTTTCCAGAAGGCCAACAACTCACTAAAAATGTTTTTTTTTATTGGTCTTATGAAGTACTCTAATTTGTTGAGATAGTGAATTGGTAGGTTTTTGTTAAATGTGAGCCAAAAACATCACAATTAAAAGAACCAAAGACTTAAACTACTTCAGTCTGTGTGCATTGAACTTATTTAATACACGAGTTTCACAATTTGAGTTGAATTACTGAAATAAATGAACTTTTCCACGACATTCTAATTTATTGAGATGCACCTGTATATAAATAAATGGTTTGTCCTGGGCTTCTCTACGATTCTATGTCTGATTCATGTCAATCCTTTAAGAGACTGTTTAATCGCTTTTCAGGCTGTTATCAACACCGCAGATCTCTTTCTATCTTTGTTTTCCTTATATTTTAACGTCTGAAGCACAAAAAGCTTTCAGGTACTTGGATCAAATTTAAGTCTCTAACACAAGCTGACCAAGACTTTCTTTCCCCCTCCTTTGCTTCTCCCTCACTGGGAAGATTTATTCCACAGGCCATAAACAGGATGCAGCTGCCCTGTTCTGCTGGAGGAGTTGGAATCCTGAGCGCTTTTCAGTGGACGACACAAAGCCAGTAATGCAGCGAAATTTGGCCTTCTCTCGCAACATAATGAAGGAAGTTAACTTGTTCACTCACCACTTCATCCTCTGACCAGCACTTCTCAATCAGCTTGGGGACTGGTTTCTTCACCAGCCGCTGCAGGGCTTTCCCGGCATCATAGCTGCTCTCATGAAGCTGTATGAAAGAAGACAGAGCACAAATTCACATTAATGATAGTTGCTTTGGAAATTTACCTTTACTGTAGTTTGTTAAAATATGAGTACCTTGTAAAGTTACTTTTTTTGTGTGTGTAAATGTAGTCAGCTATACTACCACTTGCTGTTTAAATGTAATAATACATTTATAGTATAAAAACTTAATATTTACTAAATGTGTTATTACCAAATGCTAAAAAACTCAATGTGAGCCAACAAAACTAAACACAACTAGTCAATACACCATTTTTACCTTGAGTTGAAAATTCTAAAAACTAATATAAATAAAATTAAAAAAGCTAATTTAGCTCTAACTTAAGTAAAAAACAAACAAATAAATAAATACAATGAATAAAATTTGAATAAAACTAGAGAAGACCTAAATTTAACTGTTGAAAATACTAAATACAACAAATGAACACAATAATTTAATCCTAACTTCACATGAAAACTCTAAATTAAAAACAATAAATACAAATAGAAAATACACAAATTTTCCCTAACTTGAGTCAAAAATGCCAAAATTTAATAAAACTGGAAAATACCCCAAATTTAACTGTACTCGAGTAAAAAAAAAAAAACACTGAATAGAATGAGTGAAAAAAACAACAACAACAACAACAAAATTAATTAATTAAATTAATAAAAACGGAAAACATCCTGATTTAACAATTTAATGTCAGCATTTAATTAACTATTTCACTTTTAAAACTGGGCCATGAAAAACAGCAATACATTTTCAAGACACAAAAATAATGGATACTTGATACTAGAAGTGTGACATTACTTTGAAAACAGCTAACTATCACACTAATGCAAAAGTTAGTAGTGTGGCTACTTTTAGCTAGTTACTCCACAGCTGATTGTTACAATGTGAGGAAACCATCATATTGGATTGCTATCGACTCATTTTTCCCAGTGTAAGGACAGCCTGAACACTATAACAGTGATTGGCTCCCTATAAACGTGTCAGATAGGGTGAGTTTGGACAGCTGGACTGGAAATCTGAAAGCCATTAAGTACTGAGCAGGCAAATGAGTGTGAACTCAAATAACCTAAAATATTCTGCCAAAGAAAGCAACCACGCAAGCCTCAAGGATGACGCCGAAAAACACTGCAATATGACTCAGAACGTCCAGACAAGCTGCTTATTATACTAGCCGTTAACAATGGAGCATTTTGTCGCAAACTGATGTAAGTCACTATTTAAAGGCTTAACGTTTCCCACATCAGGTTTGTTTACAAAAATGGTTGAACACAGAACAATATCTGGTTGGTGTGCAGTGCTAAATCCTTTTTCCTGCATCTCCACTGGAGACATTGGTCGGTTAAAAACACACAATTTAGCATCAGCAATCATTTCTGACATGGCTACAACAAAGCAGCTTGTCAAAGGCAAGCAGGTACCAGACTGAGGCTCGAGGTGGTTTACGCTGAAAGCACATTGGAATTGCAGATGAGTGGAAAAAGGTCAGGAAACGGTGAACCTCAGCTCACATTAATTCTCAGCTTATCCACTCAGTCAAAATGGAAATGTCATGTTTATTACATTTCAGGTTCATTTGTCGAATGCTTTTTTAAAGGCTAGCAAAGACAAGGAGAGGAATTGGTTTGATAATGGCTCACAGGCTGTCCGCCATGGGTGGCATTAGAATATCACGCTGTATGTTCTGTACTCGACCGGGTAACTTGTCCAGCGGGGGCTGATAAATTCGGCTTTGCAAAAAGCTCAGCTGTCAGGGGCCACTGCGCATTAATGAAGCCATGAATTACACCCCTCTTGTTCAGACATCTTACAATCGCAGACATCACTGAGGAGCTATTCAATGCCAATTTACTAGCGTGTTTTGATGGCCCCTGGTGCCCGTGTCTTTCCCGAGGCGAGGCTGTGTTCAGAGAGCGGTAGCCTGTGGTGCACCGCTGAGAAGGTGAACAAATGTGAGTGAAAACGCTGAGGGATTTTTTTTTTCATCTTTTGACAATTAGGCATGAAGCCTGCTAGGGACATCTTACTTCACTGTGTCTCTTTGGTGCTGGGCGCTTAATTGGCCAAGACAAATTGGGGTTTAGCTGCTGTTCTGAGCAAGTAGAGGGAACTTCGATGCGCAGAAGAGTCTGCTGTATAAAGACGGCATAAACAGACAGATTTGCATGTCACATTTAAATTCCTTTGAAGGACAAGAAAACGTGTCACGGCCATAAACCACACAATTAATAAAACTGGGAAGTAAATAGAGCCACAAAACCTATGTAATAATCTCTTTTAGACGCAGGGTTCTGTTAAAACGATTTCCTCCTGAGCCTGAATGATTAGTTATATAGAAAATGGCTCTTCATGAAACCTGTGGTCTCTCTGTTAAACCCATTCACTGCCTGGACCTCTTTATGGTTTTGACATTATGACATTTTATGGTTTTCTCGACCGTGAGTAATGTGCCTAATTCCTCTTTGTGTTTTTACTAATTAGCTCTACAGTAAAATGACAATAAATACTGGTAATAGCATAACAAAAATGCACTCGGACTGAATCACCACTTATAAAGCGGCAGATCAGACCAGTGCCTGAAAAAGCACTCCGTACAGCAGCAACATTGTGAGGAGGATAAGTCATTTGATACTAAGGAGTCTGATAAATCTACATTCTGATCAATCGACATTGCTGATTATTTACATCTCATGTTTGGTTCTTAGAAAGTGACCAGATAATTAAAACAAAACAAAACAAATGACTAAATAGATAAACAACGTTGACAAAATAAAAAGATCAAAAGAATAATACAGAAAATAATAACAAACATTATCATTATAAAACATTACAATAAAAACGGTAAGCAAAATCATAATTTTTTTAATTTATATGCTTTGCCGTAGAAGCTAATCACTATCATAATAAAATATCTTTCCATTCTCTGTTTTATGTTTCTCAAATCTAATTTTAGTATTAGTAAAAACAGCACCTGTAATTTTAAATCTGGAGTAAAGGTCAGTTATGTTGTCAGCTTACAGTGTTTAATGCGTTAAGTGTAGTGTCGTCTCGTGAGGCGGCGAGGCAGCCGTCCTCTGTTGACCCCCCATCACACATCCCTGCAAACGCTGCCATGCTCCTGCCAACCACAGAGGGAATACTGATGAAGTCAAAGCTGACAATGACACATTGTACAACATTACTGAAAAGCGGGTTGATGTGGGGCTTACCTGGCTGCCCGCAGGTACATGAGCAGGTCACAGTCGTTGACCCCAGGCATCCAGACCAGCTCCTCATTCTCTGTCACGGTCTGACCTCCAGGAGAGGGAAAGGGCTGGAGCTCTGGCAGCCTGGCCTAATTTGGTAAAGAGCAGAGGGGATGGACAGCTGCGGTCACAACACAAATAGCACTAGCGATGAGTGCTAAATATCAATTTTCAAATTCATTTAATCTCCACATGCATTGAGCCAATGGAGGGGTGCGAACAATCACGGATGATTAAAAGACCTCACTTGAATTAATGAGGCAACTAAACATTATTCAGCTTCCCCTTGTGTGCAGAAATATTATGTTTAAACTAGATTTTTCTAGGTGGCGTTGACGTAAGACATTGTAGGCGGTTACCATGGAGCTGCTATGTGGTTGCTAAGGTGTTTTTTTAGTTAGTTATCAGGTGGTCATGGGATGCCTAATGCCCAAATATGAGCAAGCACAACTAATAAACTCACAATACTTTTTTGTTTGGGGTTGGTAAGATTTTATGTTTTTGAAAGAAATCACTTATGCTCACAAAGGCTGGGTTTATTTTATGAAAAAAAACTGCATTTTTTGTAAGATATTATTACAATTTAAGACAACCGTTTTCTATTTTAATATATTTTAAACTTATAACTTATTCCTGCACTGGCAAAACTGAAGATTTAATAGCCATCACTGCAGTCTTCAGTGTCACATGATCCTTCAGATATCATTCTAATATGCTGATTTGGTGCTCAAGAAACATCAACAATGTTAAAAGCACTGGACACACTGAACGACTTAGAACAGCATTAGTATGATTTCACCCATGTTTCTTGTACATTGTGTCCCAAAACCCTAGACTAAACTCCTTCAGTAGATTGTTGCCAGGGTAAAATACAAAAATCCTGCGCTCAAATAAATCCTAAGAGCAAACCTCAAAAGTAATTTCCTAACATATAACTAACATTCAGTTCTAAAGTCTTACAGATCCGTTCCACGTTGGATCAATATCCATGGTGCGCTAGCCTGTAATGGCCGGCCCTGCAGAGCTTTATTACCGCAAACTTCATCTAAAGTAATTTGAAGTAACCTTGGGCAGAGGTCCTGCCTCTGGTTTCACTCCACATGATAACTCAAACAGATCTCTGGGAAAATATACACTAAAACATCTGACATTAATTGCTAGTGGTGCTTGGTCTTTTTCATCGTGTGCCATCTTCAGGCTATAACAATCTTTTAGCAGCTTTATTTACAGATTTTTAGCTCTCTAAAACATTTTCAACGCCCTGACAGTGCTTTCGTGGTATTATACGCTTTAGCAACACAATACAATAATCACATTAATGCATGATTCACATTAATGCACAATAGAGCCTAAGAGGAAATGGTGTGGATTTAAATCTATAGACTGAACAAAGGCACAAAAGGCGACGAACAGCACAGTCGACGCTTCTCATTGTTTTTGTGGAGGTACACTACAAAAGCCCCCAAAAGGCCAGATGATAAGCAGGGGGAGAGGAGCCCTGAAATGGCTGCTGTTACAAACCCATGGCAGTAACCATGGCAACTACAATTTAATAATAGTGTTCCGATCTCCAGCTGCAGTGGATTAAAGAAAATGACAAGATGTTCCTTTTGAAAAGCCTTCCCCCGCTCCGTTGCCACGGCAACAGAGCTGATTTTCATATAGCCAGGCACAGAGAAGGGCCCAGAAACTGTCACTATGATTTGCGTCCAGACAGAGTAGCTCTCACTCCACCGCTGGGCTGGCTGCCCGAACCTGGCTGCAAAGTGAGGAGAGGTTAGGGCCTCAAATCATATCCCCCTTCATCTGGGCACATTTCATAAACAACCCCTCTCTCTCCCTTCAGCGCGATCCACTAAAAACACAAGCTCTGTCAATGGAGGAAATTCCACACCGAAACAAATATGGCAGACAGATGAAGCAGCGGCAGACAGGCCTTCATTAAAAGCTTTTCAACATTGAGCTGTTTAAAGTTTTAAGAGTCTGATTCTAATGCTCGTGACTCCTATAATGAAAGACAAATCCACATGAAATAAATCGCCAGGCAAGCATTATGGCGCTCTTGTCTGAAACTGAATCTGCTGCGAGATGTCGGCGATAGTGGAGGAGAGAAATCACTCGGCCGGATTCCTAAACATTCTGCAGGCTCTGCATTTTTGGAGGCTCTGAATTAGGCAGTAAAGCACACAAGAGCCAAAGAGAATGATCTGAAGGCTGCCACAGTAAGATCGCATACAGAACAATCACTCCAACATGTGTCAAGGCAAAATGTGAATAATTTAGCTAGTGGAGGAAAATAAAATCCTATTGTTTTCTATAGAATGATTAAATTGTGTTACAAGAATAGAAGTTACAAAAGAGACATATTTAGATTAATACTGTATGATACTGTAAACTTAATATACTTCAACATGGAAATAATCTATTAACAATAACACTTTAAAATATGTCAAGAATTAAATGTTACATTAATTTTCTGAATTATAGAACATTAAAAATTATATATTTTTACATTTATATTAACATTCATGCATTTGGCAGATGCTTTCATCCAATGCCACTTACGTTGCATTTCCTGAGAACCAAACATGACTGGCGTTGTTAGCACCATGTTCTATTGTTTGAGATACAGGAACACTTTAATTTGAATAATTCAAATTTATGTTATTGAACAACATTAATAATACTGAATATTATATTTTTAATTCTATACACATATTCCATACAATTTCTTATTAGGTTACTATTAGTACAGACAAATATTAACTTAGATTAATCTTTAATAAACCTATTAATAAATAATCAATTTTATTGAACCATGTCCATTTTACAGGTGTAACCAAGACTCCCAGACAAGCCTGACAATTCGATTATGAACTTGTACACTATGTAACAATTTTGGAGAAAAAAAAAACTTTTTCACTCAGTGGGTATTTTGTTGAAGAACTGAAAAAAACTCTACACCCAGATGATGAAGTGAAGAGTTCATCTGAAGCGACAAACTAAAATTCAAACATTTATCTTAACACGAGTCTGACTAAACATGTGTGAACACTTATGCAGGGGCGTTTCCTGGCTTGACATCCCTTGAATCAAAAGGTCAGAAAATTGCACTGGACAGGCAAATGAAAAATACCAGCATGATATTCCTGAGACACATGCTTTTATTAAAACGTGTAAGATCACATATAATGGTATCTTGGCGTGTCTCCATGCTTACAAAACTCACACCAATATAACCATTTTAAATGTGTACTTTTTGTGGTACTCATCATTACAGAAAAGTAAATTTCCAAATGTGCTTATTTCAAACTGCAGATTCATCATAGATAAAACAAACAGCTTATACAATTTTAAGCTTATGAAATAAAAAACAAGAAACAAATATTAAAATACAAGTGTCATACACTACATGTCCTTTAATTGCAACAGTAGCTCCAGCGCATGAAGCGCTGTCAACAAAGCACAACATGCTGCATATTTTGACTCGACCACGCGCACGGCAATCAAGCCCGGCCACGCCCCCTCCATCATTATCCTCCAATCACCGCACGACTCCGAAACGCCTATAACACACCGAATAAACATAGCGAGTGCCCCAACTTTTATTTACACAGCTACTAAACCCGTCAGAACAGCGGATGCTTTCATTATACATCTTAAAGTGAGCACAAAGCACCCAACTCTATCCTACGCCATGCCATCCCGACTGTCAACACAATCCAGCGTACTGCGAAGTCATAATTACGGCCGTCTCTCTATTATATTAATTCTGTCAAAAACAAAGTTCAGTCGTTTATGTCAGACAATTCGCGCGCAGACGCATATAATACGAATATGAAAGCACACTGCGTTGACGTTAGCACAGACGGCTAATGCTACTGACAGCAACATACACAACCGGAGAGCGTTGTCAACGCGATTTAAAGCACGGACAGCTGTTTCATCAGACAAACACGTATATAACATTACAAGAGGCGCGCGATGCGGTACGTACAGTATGACGCGCGCCGATCGCTTAACAGGTGAAGACGGGCATGCTAACGTACCTGCGCGGACTGAACAGGTCGTCCATGTCGGAGCCAGAGCTGCGGTTTTATTTGACAGAGTGAGGAATAAAGTGTCCTCTCGCACCTATTTGTGTAGGTACTCAAAATGGAGGCTCAAGCATTCAGTCAGCTTTTACACTGAGCTTGTGCCGTGACCGACAGACAGCACTGAGCATGTGCCGCGACCTCACTCACTCACTCACACACACACACACACACACACACACACACACACACACAGAGGAATCACAG